GAGAAATTCAACGAAACAAATAACTAAGTTGAGAAAAAAATAAAACTGATAAACCCTAAGCTAAACTGACTAGGTTAAAAAAAATTTTAGAAGAAGAAAGAGAAACAAATTAACAATGTCAGAAATGCGAGAAATGGCCTCAATACAGATTCTAGAGGCATTAAAATGATAATAAATAATAAAGAAAAATGTTATTGCCAATAAATCAGACAACTTATATGAAATATAAATTATTTGAAAGATACTAACCCCCAGAGCTTACTGAAGAGGAAATCGTTTGAATAGCATTAATCTATTAAAGAAACTGAATCTGTCATTAAAAATATGGCAACAAAGTAAAACCCATAGCCGGATGACTTCAGTGGTAAATTGTACCAATATAAAGAAATAGTACTGATTCCACACAAAATCTTCCAAAAAATTGACAGGAAAGAATACTTTTTGATACTTAAGCCAGACAAAGACATTACAAAAAAGATAACTACTTTAAAAAAATATTCTTCATTAGGCCAGCTGCAGTGGATCATGCCTATAATCTCAGCACTTTGGGAGGCCAAGGCAGGAGAATCTCTTGAGCCCAGGAGAGCTTGTTTGTACAAAAATAAAAAATAAAAATAAATCAGCCAGGTATGATGGCTTGTGTGTGTAGTCCCAGCTACCCAGGAGGCTGAAGTGGAAAGATCACCAGCCCAGGAGGTCAAGGTTGCAGAGGTGAGCTGTAAACATGCCACTAAATTCCAACCTTAGCGACAGAGTGAGATCCTGACTCAAGAAAAAAAAAATTCCTCATTAACACAGTGGCAACAAGTCTAACAAATTTTTGCAGATCGAATCCATTGATATTTTAAAACAGTAATGCATCCCAAGAATCCAAGTTTGTTTTAACCTTCTATAATTGGTGTATACATCATGATGAAAAAAAACTTAAAAATATATATTCTCAATAGGTACAGAAAAAGTATTAGACCAAATCAACACCTATTCCTAATAAATTCTCTCATAATTTTAGGAATAAAAGGGAACTTCCTCAAATTGATAAAATATATATACATGAATAATCTACAATTTACACCATATGTAAAAATGCAACATTGAATGATTTCTTCCAAAGATCAAGCTCGAAATAAGGATGTAGTTCTCATCACTTTTTTTGGCATTGAACTGGAGGTCATAGTCTATGAAATCAGGCAAGGAGAAGAAAAAGTATCCAGATTAAAAAGGAAGAAGTTAAAGTGTTTTTGTTGCAGACTGCATGATTATCTATGTAGAAAATCCAATAGAATCTACAAAAAAAAAAATTACTAGAAGAAAGAAATGAGTTTATCAGGATATAAGATTAATATTTTAAGTCTATTATAATTCTACATATTATATACAAACATTTGGGGCCAGGCATGGTGGCTTATGCCTATTATCCCAACATTTTGAGGGGCAGAGGTAAGAGGACTACCTGAGCCCAAGGGTTCAGACTGGACAACTTGGTGAGACCTCGTTTCTACAGTAAATAAAAAAAATAGCTCTGGTGGCACACACCTGTGGTTCCAGCTACTTGGAAGCCTGAGGCAGATTGGCTGAACGAAGCAGGTCCAAGCTGCAGTGGCCATGAGTGTGCCACTGCACTCCAGCCCAGGCAACAGAGTGAGACTCCAACTCAACCAATCAATCAATAAAACATTCAGAAATTAAAATTACAAATATCTACGGTAGCATAAAATATGAAATATATGATAATCTAACAAAATATGTAAGATATGTATGAAGAGAAAACTACAAAATATTGCCTAGAGAAATTTTTTAAAAATCTAGATAAATGGGGAGATATGCTTTGTTCACAAATCAGAAAAATTAATATTTTTAAGATGTTAATTTCCTTCCAATTGATCTATAAATTTAATGCAATTACAATGTAAATTCAAAAAAGGATTTTTGTAGAAATTAGTGAGTCAATTCAAAAATTAATATGGGAAATACAGGACACAGATTAGCCAAAACAAAATAAGTAAAGTGGAAGGACTATCATTGCATGATTTTAAGATTTTTATTATAAAATCATAGTATTCAAAATAATGTAGTGGTGGTATAAAGATACACACATAGATAAATGGAACAGAATAAAGAGTTTAGAAGAAAAATTCACGTATATATGGGCAACGATTATTGACTAAGTTACAAAAGCAATGCAGTAAAGAAAGAATAGTCTTTTGAGCAAATGGTGCTAAAACAATTTGATATCTATATGCAAACAAATTGATTTCAATCTCTAATTACAAGCTAACCTAAAAATAGGTCATAGACCTCAATGTAAAACTCAAAGGTATAAAATTTCTAGAAAAAATAGAAAATTTTTGTAACCTAGAGTTAGTCAACAGGTTCTTAGAAATTATGACAGAAACATGAAAATGAACTTCATTAAAATGGAATACTTATGTTTTTCTGAGTATTTTGGTCAAAGAAAAACCACAGACAAACCACAGTGTGAAAAAAAAATCTCAGGAAGCATATCTGATAAATGGTTTTTGTCCTGTGTATGCAGAGCTTGCAAAACTCAAAAATGAGAAAACAGATAACCTAAATAAAAATTCTCAAAATATTCGTACATTTACTTTATCAAATAAAACATATAGATAGTATATAAGCACATAACAAATGCTTAAGATCATTTACCATTTAGGAAGTGTAAATTAAAACTAGGATGAATACTATTACATTTACATAACCATTAGGATGGTTAAAACTACAAGACAAATCATACCAAATTCTGGTATAGATGAAGTGGAACTGGAACATTTGTACAATGCTGGTAGGAGTACAAAAAGGTATAACTTTGAAAAATAGCTTAACAATTTCTTAAATAGCTAAACAAAACAAACAACTACTGTATGATCCAGACATTAGACTCCTAGGTATTTATCCAACAAAAAAACAAATCATATGTTCATACAAGACCTGTACATGAATGTTCATAGAAGCTTTATTTGTAATATTCAAAACTGAAACAACTTAAATGTCATCAACAGATAAACAAATCACAATATATTCATACAAGAGAATACTCAATATTAAAAATAAACAATTTATATAAGCAACATAATGGAGATGTATGAATCGCAAAATAATCATGTAAAGTGAAAGAAGTTAGGCATAAAAAAGGTATAATGCATGATTCCATTTTATAAAAACTTTACAACATGCAAATTGAAAACAGATTGGTGGTTTTCAGGGGAGACATGAGATGGGGGGGTGATGAAACTTTGGATGATGGATATGTTAGCTATAATGATTGTAGTGAGCGTGTTGACTACAAGATGTGAAACAAATCAAATTTTACACTTTAAATATGTTCAGTTAATATGTCAATTGTCTTCCTAGGGATAATATAGCTTTTTTATATCTCTATCTATCTATCTGTAGATATATATATGATTGCTATTTGATTATGTGAGGCAAAATGGAAAAGACTTTTTTTAGAATAGCTGGGAAGGAAATAGAAGCACTGAAAATAGAAGAGATATTTGTAATGCCATCTCTTTCTATTTAGCAGTATTTGCACACCTGGCTCAGTTTGCTCTAGAATAGAGTGTCTTCATTTTTTGGTGTTGTATGTTTCTGAATTATAGCATTGCACATTGAGAAAAAGTCATCTACAAAAAATGTGTAGTTTAGGGGAAAAAAAAGTCTACTATTTTTGCCTCTGGGACTATACATCCATGATTCGAACAAATACTGTTTTGAAGAGTTAAAACTATTAAGTGTTTTTTGGTAGAGAAAAGATGAAGAAATAATAACCAACTCAGGAAGTGATACTGAGTTGTGGATTGGTTCACAGAAATGGCCACCCAATTACTAATTGGCTCCTGGGACTCCCCAGTTGTTCCCATGTTCCCAGATATGTATAAGTGTGTATAAATGGTAGAGTCTAGAAATGGATAATATTTTAAAAACTATGAGCAGTGGTTTCTAAAGCTGAGAACTTAAGTTTCTTGATTTCGGTGTGGCCTTTGCCCTTTTCTGCTTTTGCATGTGCACCATCTCCTAGGCATAGTTCCCCCTTTTCTGCCCTCTGTCTGCAGTTGGGCAAGTTCTTCGTGTTCTGTCTTATGCAGCTTCAGGTGGGTGAAGGGAAGCTGGCGATGAGGTAGAGAAGACTGAGTGCAAAGGGTTCCCAAGCTTGTAGAGGAGTCAAATTTTAAAATAAACAAAAGCTGAAGGCTGGAGGGGAGTTTGGGACAACCTCGATGAAAAGATATAGATAAACAAAATCAAAACTTTTGATGTAATGGTGCCAGGAAGGAGGAGCTACATTCTCTGCTGAGGAATTTAGCTAATAACTCCAAACAGAGCTCTCATGTTCTGCACTCAAGTGACACAGAATAGCTTAAATTCCAAAATAAAATTAAACAATCTTCTTTTCTTACAGAGCCTTCAAATTGCTCTTTTAATATGCTTTTAATAGGTTTGCTTTCTTCTGACATACACTGAATGCAACTAAAGCGCAATTTTCACCAAAAACAGCTCCCCGTTGTATATATGCACAGGTGCCTGAAGGGTACTTTTGGGAAACAGCACCTTGGAGTCTAAACCTGCAGGAAGGGAAGGAGGAAAAAGTTAGATTTACTGCCACCTTATGTCAGAAACTTTGCCTTGTCATAAAGCTTCAAATCAGTTATAGATACAGGAAGGGAAAACTCAAGAGAAGTCCTGAATGGGTAAATGTGCATACCCCTTTGTGAGAGAGGTGAAAAAAGAGACATGAGGAAATTCCCTAGCTTCTCACTGGCAAGAAGTGGACATTGGTAGAATGTAGCAGAACTTCACTAGCAGGTTCAGCAAGGAATAGGAAACTTACAAGTGACCCATCAGAAAGAGTAGGAAACATACAAATGCGGTGCCCCAAATAAGACAAAAATGTATAAGTGAAGCATCAAAAGGAATAGGAAACTTACAATTGAGGCATCAGAGGAGAACCGTCCTCCCAGAGCCATGTGTTGTTGGGTTTCCTCTTAGACAACCCCATCCAGAATGCCGAACTGGAATGGGAAATCACTTTCTGAATGAAGTCCTGTAGAAAGCAATGTTTCTGAGTTGGTGGAATCAATGTGGTGGCTTTAGAATCTGAAATTCAGTTAGCATTCGATTCATAAAACTAAGAAGGATCTTGACAACCCCTTGATGGTTTTATGTAAATGTTTACTGAAGCCTAGGGATACTACAAAGTCATCAGTCCAAAGTCATGCACATAATTTGTGGCCAGGCAAGGTTATAAAACAAGTATTTTGGTTCTCAAAGTAGTCCTTCACTGAGGGTCTAAGCCAGATTTATTTCCCTATCAACCAATACTTAAACTCAACAAATATCAAATAAACACTCACGAGATCAGCTGTGCTATTAATTTTCAGCAACTGGGCATCCAAAGACAAGCAGTTCTTCTGGCTCTTTTCCCAGTTAAATGGGTCAGAGGAAAATAGGTAACAGTTTTCTTCATGCCAGAACCAATCTTGAGGACAAGGAGCTAAGAAGGGTAGTATATGGAATCAGTTAGTAAGGTCTGAGTATAAGTATTTCTGCAATTCTTAAATCAATTCTCCCCTTAGTCCTCTCACATGCATACCATTTCTTCTTAATTAAAATTTTACCCAGTCTCTGTGAATACCTAAATAGCTGCAGAGTCTCTATTTCTCTATTTTTTTTGGAAAAAAAAGAAAGCATACTGATTTTAGCCAACTAAATTTACTTCTCATTTAGCATTTTCACTTCCCCTGTTAAAAAGCAAGTTAAGCTGGGATGTAACTTTAGAAACGGATCTATTTTTTTAAAAAGTTATGCTTGGAATGATGGAAGTGAGGGTTGCAAAAATGGATATTTAATACCTACTCTTCTATTTAAAAGTTATACCTGTGTATTTTAAAACTTTGCATATTTGAATAATAGATAGGCTGAAATTCTGTGCCTCCCACTTTTAGACAAGTGTGGTCCAATACAGTAGTCATATGCGATTCTTGAGTACCTGGAATATAATGAATCTGCACTAAGATGTACTGTAAGTATAAAATGCACTCTTGATTTTGAAAAGTTGTTATTAAAAAAATGTAAAATAGCTGATTAAAATTTTTATAAAGATTAGTGTTGAAATTATATTTCAAATACTTTGGGTTAAATAAAATGTTACTAATATTAATTTTATTTGCTTATTTTTTATTTCTTAATGTGGTTACTAGAACATTTACAATATATATTTGGCACATATCATATTGTTTTGGACAGAGTTGTTCTAGGAACAATAGTATATTGATACAAATTGAGAATCTCAATTTCAATAAGATTTCAGAAGATGGGAAGATTTTCAGCAGAAAAATTCCTAGGGATTCTACAAACCCTACTCAGAAGTTAGGCAATAGGCAATACATGCTGACGTCTGTATGTATATGGATGCTTTCAGCAACCTCCAAATTATTATCATTATCATCATTGTCATCTCTTCTATGTTTTACTACCACTTGGAATCTCTTTAAAGGGAAACAAAATACTTTATACTATGACCAGAAGGTTTTAAAAAATTAAAATCTTTGAGAAAGGCAACATTTAATTTCAATTTTTATTGTGGTATCAAACCATCAGATAATTTTATAAGAGTAGGTTTTATCAGAAAGGAGAAAGTAACAGGGCACTGAAAAACAGAAGATGAAAGTGAATGGGAAAGGTCATACAAAAACCAAGTTGATTTTTCATCAAACTGGTACTTTTAAAAAAAAGACCACATTGAAAACAATAAATGCAAACTCTTTACATCTTAATTTGCCTAGCTCCATCATGTTATGTAGATGTAAAAAAAAAATAGGCTTTTTTTTTCTAAAAAAAAAGTCCAGACAAGTTTTCCAAGGTATGACAAAGCAAGAAAGACACATTACAAAAGTGATATTTAAACCAACTCATATATATATATATATATATATAGAGAGAGAGATTTTGGAAGTGCTTTACATATATTAACTCATTTAATCTTCATAATATCTTTATGAGATAGGTTTCATTCATTTTCTTTGTTTGAAACAAGATGAAAAAGGGAAATTTGAACCTCTATAGTCTAACTCTAAGGTCTGTATGTTTAACCACTCTAACATACTATCTTTCAAATTTTTAAGTTGGAATCACTTAAAATAATGTCTCAGTCCATCTGAAGATATCTTGATACATAATCTTGAGGTTAATGTGGAATCTGCCATTTTAAATATATATTTCATTTTAAAGATTAGGTATACAAGTGGACATCATACAGTAAAATTTGGGCCTTCCTTTGGTCCCCACTTTGCCTGGTTTAAGATCAGGTACCCTTATTGATGTTGTGTTCCCATCCCCACCCCAGCAGTTTCCCACTACTGCTGATCCCTTTCTTATAGTATTATGGAAAATGTTCAGGGTTCACTTATGAGTAAGAACATATGGTACTCTGTTCTTTGTTTGGAATCTGCCACTTTTAACAAGCTACTTGCATACACTAATTCCACTAATTCCAGTGCTCAATGTAAGTCCTATTCCTGTGAAGACTCTGCATCTAAATGGCCTCAGGCAAATATATGGCAACTTGTCAGAGTGTGTTCCTCCTTATATATACATTGAGGACCACGATATATATACCACTTGTTGGTAGAAAAGATAAAACTTGCCTTAAACTTCAAATAACTGGCATTTTTTTCCCATGTGATATTTTAGGTTTTTTTCTTTTTTTAGAACATTTTCAAAGCTTCTTGATAAAAAGCAGAACTGCAGAACTGTATTTGGTATCCTACTAATAAACCCTTATCTGACTCTGTCAATGAATGGAACCTGTCACTTGTTTTATCTGCCAGCTTCAGACATATTGCTTATTACTTTTGATTAGTTGTCTATGTGCGGCATCTCTGGGAGATGTTCTGAATGGTCCTGACGTAGATTTAATCACACACAACTGATAAAGAAAAGCCGTTTTACAAGAAACCACTGGTTGGTATGTAACTATGTCTGCTTTTACAAACATTCCTATCCTTGATATGTAAACCGCCTTCTTTTAAGCCTTCTTGGAATTAGTATGGTCATTTATTTCCTTGCAAGCTTTCTCCCTCAAAAAATTAAATACATGTTTGACACATGCTAGAGATCAGTTTGTCTAAAAATTTCTGCTAATTTTGGAAATGTAAATGACCCTGCCAATCTATTACACAAACTACTTATTATTATCATTTACCTTAATCTGGGCCTTAATTTTTCAGCTACAAAATAAAGGCATAGGTATCTATGAATTATTATATAATTTTTAGTCAAATAGATTATGTGGTTGAGATTAAGCAAGTTGTACAAGAAAAAAGTTGAAGAAATCTCTGCTTATTAATGGCAGTTAGTTACTGATCCTAAAAAACAGGATACTCATTCATGTACCTCAGAGGAAGCAGTGTACCACTGAATGATTATCATACCTTTTATCTGTCTATGGCTAGAAACCAAAGGATGTGGTTAATTAAATGAGATAGTTCAGCAATTTGGCATAGGGTAAGGTGAGGATGATATAAATTGAGAACTTCTGATGTAAAACATCATGAATGAATAATTACATATGTATATCTCAATATGCCAATTTTGTGAGAAGAGATATTTCAAAAAAAAGTTAAGATTGAACAGAAAGCTGCCACTACCTCTCCTCATCCCTTTTCCCCTCAATACCTGAAAAGTTTCCTGCTCTCTTCAGAGCTTCTTGGAGAGCCAGGTTCTGCTGGTGAAGTTCCATTTGCTCTTTGGATTTTTCATTCAGCTTCCGGGCAAGAGTTTCTATCATTTCCTTGAGTTCTTTTTGTGACTCCTGTGAAGCTTCTTCTGCCTGTCGCCGAGCTAAGATCTGCCCTTCCAATTTACTTTCTTGATGAGTAAGGTTTGTTTGCTGTTGCTTTAAGAGTTGAGATACCTGGGATACTAAATCAAAGCTGAATTAAGAGTCCATTTCCAATCCCAGTAAAAATCCCTCCACTGGATTTTGAGGAAATAAAGAAATCAAAATACAAAATTAATCATCCATTTTGACAAGCAATAATCTGCTGGAAAATAACCCAAATTTACTCAGAAACTATGTATATGGAAATTATTCAATATCCCTGTAATACTTATTTTTGCTGTCAATAACTGTGCAGATATTATTAAAAATTAATCTTTTTAGCAAGAGTTGTACACAAATTAAAAGGAGTCACAGAATAAATAGTATAACACTGGAGTAAATAAAATATAGAAAATCTAAAATAGGTATCCTCCAGACTCAGTGACCAATAGTAGGAGTTGCCATTAGTCATTTACTCTGTGTCTTAATTCCTCTGCTACATCTCCTCACATTCTGTCTACCCTTCCAGACTTCCTAATTTTATTTAAAAACTATAATATTCACCCCTTTTTTGAGACAGCCACCCACAGAATTATCGTAAGTTACGTGTCACAAGAGTCTCAAAACATGTTTTTCTTTTTTAACCACTGTTCATATCAGAAAGGGTGGAGATGAAATGAAGGTTGTGAAATCAAGCTGGCAATAAATGTTAAGGGTAAAATATTTTAGTTCTAAAATTTTGATGGTGCAATTCAAAGGAGAGCTTTTGCTTTGAAGGTCAGATTTCACCCTGTTGCAAGGTGATCAAATCCTCAGAGGAAGACTCTTCTAATCACCGTCATTGAGTCAAAGGCACTTCTCTCAGCCATTAGGAAAGACCCTAAGTGTTTACAGATTGAAAATAAGAGAGTTGAACCACAACTGAGAAGCAAATAGGTCATAACAAACTGAATCCTGGGTAATCTAAAGAACACAGATCTATGTACACAGGCAGATGAGTTGGATGATGGGCACAATCTTCTTTTTTCTTGGCTACTGTGGCCCTTCTTTTCACTTATCAGTTTCCTCTCAATATTGGTTTCCTTTCTTTCATAAATGGCCAGATTATAAATTCGAAGTACATTTTGTTTTCAATATTTACTAATTAAGGTTGTGTTTCTAGCTATCAACTTTAAAATGTTACTTAATCATCACTGTCAAAACTCAACTAAGTAAAATTTCTTTTACTTGGGTCTTTGGTGATCTTGTGAATTAGTAACTTTATTTTCTTCCTGATCATTCTATTTATACAGGTTCTATCCACGAAATTATGAAAACAAAGAAAAAATCAAAACTTCTACCATTTATAATCTTCTCTCCATGCCTCTATCCATTTGAGGGATTAATACAATATACTCATTCATCTTTCCAGTCACTCCAAAAACATTTTACCTAAGATGAATCTAAATCAAGACTGTTTGCAGTTATGAAAGAAACTTATAAACCATATTTGTAAACCTCATTTCCACTCCCACTTCTACCATTTTCTTATCAATACTTACACTGCATAGCCAGCACTGTAATAGTCACCAGTGATACCAAGCAAAAAATTCCTAGAGTCACAGCTGCCAGGCACCACCATGGAGAAGAAAAAAAGTGAAGACCTAGAGTGGCAGAGGATAGCATCAGAAAGACAGAGGGAAAAAAAAAAAAAAAGATTGGCAAGTAATCAACCCTTTCTTTGGCTCTTATCTGTTATCTGTACTTGACACTCTGCATTTCTTACCTCTGGTCCTCCCAATGGCTCTGCAAATAATTCATTAACACATTTACAAATGAAAAATGGGGACTTTTAAAATTTAAGTAATTTACTCATGATCACACAACCAGTAAATTTCAGAACCAGGATTTAATACCAGATATATGATTCTAAATATCTGATTGTAAAGCTTATATTTGTCTACTCTCCTTGCAATGACTCTTCAAAAAACTCTCAGTCCAGCTTAGTTGGATCAACTTCATCCAACTAAGAGAGTCTGCAGTTTTTAATATAGCCCATGTGTAATGTGTACACGTGCGCACTCACATACAGTGTGTGTGGTTTTTTGTTTTTTTTTTGGAAGCAGGATTTATTGAGAAGACAGAAAAGTTCCCATAGTGGGAAGGGACTTGAGGGGGTTGCCCTACAGTGTATTTTCTAAGAACATACACAGGGATTGGCAGTAGTGGGAAACTGCCAGGGGAGGGAAGGGAGTCATGCCTTATCAATAAGGATACTTGATCTCAAACCAGGTGAAGTGGGGACCAAAGTGAAGCCCAAACTTTACCTACACAGTGACCATTTATATACCTAACCCTGAATTGTACCTCACAACTTTAAAATAAAAATAAAATAATAAAAAAAGAACATATACAAACTTCAGGCATCAAGCACATAAGCCTTAGTCAGTTAATCAATTGAAATTTTCTCAAAGAATTTCATGCATAATTTTATGCTATTCTATTTTTATTCCACTAATATCACATCTTGGAACTTGGGTTATTGACCAAAGAAAAGTAGGAATGAATATTCAATATTCATTTGGCTTATATTAATGGCACGTCCTACATTTATGTGAATTTTGTGTGTGTGTGTGAGTAAGCAGGGTTTATTGAGAGGACAGAGAAGCTCCCATGGTGGGAGGGGACCCGAAGGGGTTGCTCTGAAAATTTTTTTTACAAGAGTAAAATTCACCATTTTATATAAAAAAAAATTATGTAGCTCACAGGTGTGTAAATATCTAATTAGGTGTTCCATCACTTTAAAAGCACAGTTACTGCTGGTTCAGCAGGAAAACATCCCATGCAATGTATTTGATCTCCTCACCTTGTAAGATAAACAAATAAGGCACTGATATTGTTCATCTCCATACACAAATAAGAATACTGAAAGGTTAAGTGACTTGCTTGAGCTCACACAGATGCTAAAACCTAAACATAGGTCTTTAATTGTCAGTAACTATATGACTTGAAGTGTTACAATGCAGAATTTCCAATGTGAATGTGTAATGATCCAAGTCAAATCTATCACAGAATTCTCATGTGTCAAGTCAAACGCATTATGTTAGGTTCTACAGATAATTAAAAACATAAAAAATTTGACAGGGAAGAAAATGGTTCATTCTCTGATTCAATAGTCATTGGCTTCCAGAGTATATGTGGCAAGCTGTCAGAGAAGAAATAGTTGTGTCTCTTGCAAATAATTGCCTAATTTTTGCCACAGAGGCAAAGATATCTGCGTAAAATTTTCAAACAACCCTGCCCTCTGGTCAGTGATCATTCCATATTATAGGACATCAAATAGCATCATCATTCTTGAATGATAAAAAATTCCTGAATTTTTAGAAGAAAAAATAACAGAACTCAAACCTGTGACAGGAGGGTATGTTTCCATTTCCTATGCTCCATCCCCCTTGTCCTGTCTTCTTGATAAGCAGAAACTATTAATTCAAACACTACCCCTACTAGAAATTCTCTGATCAGAAAGCAATCGGATCATTTGCAGTAGGTAACTGATCTAACCAAGATTCTGAAAGCAAAGTCAATTTCATAATTATAGTAAAAGTCAGGCATTCAATATTCACAGCACAGTAATGAGTAAATGAATAAAAAATGACTATTCTTAAGTTCTAGTTCTACCTATAAATGCCAGCACAGTTTTTACACAAATTTTGTTCATAAACTCAAATGTTAAATTATTACATGCTCACATTTATTTTCCCTATTGAGAGAAATTTCAGTGTTTTTTATGGAAACATGATCTGCAATTCTTTATCCAAATATCTGACAATACTTGTCTGTCTTCTCCTTATATTTTGCTCATTTTTCTAAAACTACATATAACATAAAAAGCAATTTATCCAGATGTTTTTGTGAAATTAGGATTATTAATTTATATCTGTGCAGTTTAACTTGCTATATGTGTCAAATGGAAATTACAGTTTTTCAAAGCAGTGGTATGCAATAAAATGTAACTTATGCTAGCCTATACTGAATGTCCTTTAACCTGCTTTGGATAATGTATAAGTTTTTTCAGGTTTATACAGTGCCTAAATGACACTCATAAAAATCATCATTGTATACATTGGGTAAATTCATGAACTACTGATGGCTTGGATTTTGGATAAATAACAGTTTGTCATACAGTTCTAGCTCTAACACTTACTAGCTTCATAAAACTGAGTGATTTTGTGAGTTCTGCTGATCCCCAGTTAGCTCTCTGCAAAAGGGTTATAATAATATAATCCAATCTCAAAATGCTATTCATAAAAATAACGCATTTAAAGTGAATAGTCTAGAAAATAACATACAGTAAATAATATAAATTAGTTGTCATTATCGTCATCATTATCACCTCTATATCCTACTCGTTTTTCTTTTAAGTAAATGATATTAATACTATCAAATTGTACCATATTTGGTCATTTTAGCTTTCAAATCCCATTAACATTTTGGAGGTAACACTGGGATTCTGTCTCTGTACAAATTTCCCCACCACCATTACCTTTAGCTTTCTTTCCATTTATCTTCTCATCAGGCTGGTCCTTCATAGTCTTGATCTTGAGGTCATCACAAGTCATTTCCAGATTCATGCTAAGAATGAGAGTGAAGCTGAAGAGAACTTCAACAAACTAAAAATGTGTGAGCTTCTGCTGAAGTATTTAAATAGCTACTGTTATCTAATAGAAGAATGACTCAATCATGGTAGGAGGAAGGAGAGACTTTGCTTCACATTGGGAAGTTGGCTGACGCAAATTCTTGTGTTATGTCTATTGCAGGTGGAGAAAGTGGTGATTCTGATAGTGTTTCAGGATATTTCACTGAAAGGGAAATGTATTTTCCATGAGCATTAGAGGAGAGGCATTGTACCCACTCTTCAGATAGAGAAACTGAAATTCAAAGAGAGCAAGTAACACTAAATTCAAGAAAAAAAAAAGTGCATTTGGACCAGATAATTTGATTCCAATGTTTATGTTTGTTTGTTCGTTTGCTAATTTCACTACAGCAGGCTGTCTCTATAAGATACCTCTCATAAGTCATACACTTTCCTTTTTAATTTTCCCTGTTGAAATAATTGGCAGTAGACTTAAGAATTTTGGGGTGAATCATGTATGGCTCTTATTTCCAGTCATATGTCCTGGGTAATTTTAGAATGTAATTAGAGGTATTATTTCATACAGTGGCAGTATAACATAGCACCAGAGAGCACTTTGAAACTAGTTTCAAATATTTTTCATGGCCTATAATGTTGGGAAATTACTTGACAACCTGAATTTATGTGTTTGTCTATAAACTGGTGATAATGTTTACTTGATAACATTATTATAGGGATTAAATAAGCTTTGTACTTGGAGCATAATAAGAACTCAAAAATAATAGTTATACTACAGTAGTAATATTTAGCACAGTTAATTTAACCAGCAATAAATATGTTTTAGTTGAACCTGTGATTGGCTTGTGTCATGAAGACTCTTCTGCGGTCCCCCACATTGACATGTGTATATGTATTCATTGATAGAATATTCTCTTTTCCATTCACAACCTCCTGGCCAGCAATGTCTCATTGCTGAATGCATAGTTGTATATGTTTCTCTTAAAAAAAAAAAAACAAAACAAAACTTATCTTAGAGTTGTTATCTTCTGAAGTATTTATTAACAATGTGATAAGAGATCTGGAAATTCCTTTAAACTACTCCAGGAAAAAAGAACGAGTGAACAAAAGTAAACAAGTAAAAAAGAAAGAGTGAACAAAAGAAGAAAAGGAAATAATTAAATTAAAAATCTAGAATACTATTAGAAAAAGTCACCAAAGTCAACAAGTAAATTAAGATTCCATTTACTTAATCTTCCCTAAATTTTCTTTATTCCCCTCTTCTGTGCAGGATATCTAAGACCAAATTGAAAAGGTGTATCTGTAATTTAAAGTTTTACCCTATCACACATTTCACAAAATACTTCAACATGTAGCAAACGCATTCTAGTCAGATCAGTTTGTAACAAATCACTGTTACTTACCTTTATCACCCAAGCCCTGCTGCACTTGTTTTGGCTGGTGTTAGGAAGCAAGATCCTGAATGGATATATTTCTGCCTTCACAGTGGTGACTTTCACAAAAAAAGAATTTCAGGAAATTGCTTTTAATAATGAATGAATACCAAAATGACATCACACTGAAAAGGACGCCTTATTATTTTCACAATGACTCAGTTATTTCAGATGTCATTAATATTACATAACATAAAACGCTTACCATTTTAACCAGGTTTGGTTGTACTGTTCAATGGCATTAAGTACATTTGCATTTTTATACAGCCATCACCACCATCTATCTCCAGATCTTTTCACCTTTCCCAACTGAAACTCTATACTAATCAAGCTATAATTCCTGTACTTTTGTTTGTCATCTGAATTGGGCCATGGGGTGCCCAGATAGGATGTTTTTGAATGAGATTTACACACCAATCAGTAAAGTATTCAGTGGGTAGGCCTCATCCAAAAGTTGAAGACATGAAGAACAAAAAGACTAACTTTCCACAAGTAAGACAAAATTCTCCAGCAGACGGCCTTTGGATTGGAACTATACCATTGGTTCTCCTGCGTCTCCACATGTTAGCCTTTGTACTAGAAATGTACCATTGGTTCTGATGGATCTTGAGTCTGGCAACTCACTCTACAGATTTTGACTTTCCAGACTCTCTAATCACATAAGCCAATACCTTATAATATATCTCTTTCAATATATACACACATCCTATTGCTTTTGTTTCTCTCGAGAACATTGACTAACATAAAACCCCATTTCTTTCTCCTTCATTAGAAGCCACCATTCTATTTTCTGTCTCTATACATTTGACTACTCTAGGTACTTTATATTAGTGGAATCATGCCATATTTTTCCTTTTGTGTCTGACATTTTTTTAGCATGATGTTTTCAAGGTTTACCCTTATTGTAGCATATGTCAGAATTTCCTTCCTTTTAAAGTCAGTATAAGTGTCCATAAACCACATTTTGCTTATCCATTGATAGACATTTGGCTTTCTCTTGTTTTTATTTTTTAGTTTTTACTTTTCAGTTGGAGTTTCACTCTGTCGCCCAGGTTGGAGTGCAGTGGCACGCTCATGGCCACTGCAGCCTTGACCTGCTGGGCTTAGGCGATCCTTCCACCTCAGCTTTCCAAGTAGCAGGAACTACAGACGTACATCACCACGCCTGGCTAATTTTTGTGATTTATTGTAGAGACGAAGTCTCATCAAATTGTCCAGGCTTTTCTCAAACTCCCGGCTCAGGCAATTCTTTTGCCTCAACCTCCCAAAGTGCTGGGATTACAGGCTGAGTCACCGCGCCCTGCCGACTCTCTCTTGTTTTTAAAGATCAATGAGGATAGTGGCCATAATCCTTGTGTGGCAGGTAGCTGGACAGACTTGAAAGACTTTGGGAGGTTCTCATTACTGCTGCCTCCTGGTACTCATGATCTTGTGAAATTTTTCCTTGAGTGTGACCTGGAGTGTTGCCAAGGAAATGGGATATATGTGCTTATATGAGGTGTAATGGCTATTACGCTAAAGTCTCTTTATGTGATAAACTAAATCCTTTTGTTTTATTTAACTTCTTTGAATATAATCATTTTACTGATTTTGATGCTTTTGAGGCAGCCACTCAATCCTGGTACTGTGATCTTGACTCATAAGACAGAGATCCTTCCTAGCAGAGTTCCCAGGGGTTGTAAAGATGCAACTTCTTGTGTCATATTATCTATTCTTGAGGCCATGACTGTGGCCCTACCCACCACTCAGCTCCTTATTATTTGAGGTTGATGCTTCAGAGTAATAGCAGAACTAGCCTCTGTCTTATTGAGACATAGTAAAGAAGGAAATCCATGCTGAGCCAACTGACTTGGGCAAGGTCAAAAGGAGAATAATCCAAGAAACCAGAAATAAGCAAAAAAAAAAAAAAAAACCCAAACAACAAACAAACAACAACAATAACAAAAACAATCGCTATACTTGTTACAACAGTTGTATAACAATTTCCTGAAGCATAAGGGTAAAGGTCTGTGTACATGCACTCTCCATTGGTTCCACTCCAGATCTTTAACAACCTAGGTATATGCTAATAATTCACAAACTTAATGGAACTACACAAGGGAATGAGACAAACTTAATGGTACTATACAAGGGACTGAGACCATTTCCCTCTATACAAGGGACTGAGACCATTCCCCTCTACCTGCCCTTCTGTAACCCTCTTCTGCTCTCTCAGCTGGTCTCTTTATTGTCATCATTCCCTACATAAGGGCTTTGGTAGGGACAAAACTCAGGGTTAAAACTGCTACAAGGCATAATCACATTCATTAGAATTTAAAAAAAAAAAAGCTTTTATTTTTCCAGGAAGTAAAAAGAAATGGCTAATGTAATTCTCAGAAAGAAAAAGCACAAGGAGGTCATTAACAGAACCCTGTTGTGTTCAAGCCTGCTACAAAGCTAAAGGGCAAAAAGATGAGGGCAATCACAGGACAGGAGAGTGCAATAGGGGTGGGAGTCATGTTACTTGGCAAACCTGCTCAGTCAGGTAAGGGCTGGCATGGTTGAGAGAAGAGGTAGCCAGAATAGCAAGGGAAATAATTCAAACATTGGAATATCAGGAAATCTAAAATGTGACCTGCAGAGGGGTTGGTATAAAAATACACAAGAGAGGCATAAAAGATAGTAGGTATCCAACATATTAGAAGTGAAGGTCATTGGTAAAATTTAGTGAAAACCAACATAATCCTAGCTAACACAAAAATGCCTGTCAGGACTATTATATTCATTTTTAGTATAGTGTCTTGTTTAATTGTTATAAGTTTACAAAGTAAATTTTATCATTACCCCTATTTTATACAAAGCGAAAGTGAGCCAACAGAAAGATCTAATAACTTGCCAAAATTGCACAGCTCATAAGTGACAAAGCTAGGCTCTTAGCCCTGATGCTCTCCTGTCTCTCTGACAAGAAAAAGAGAAAGGAAAAGCCCATGCACCTGGCACTTTTAATAAAAATATTCTGTTCAAAACACCTTCTTGTCTCTCATTTTATTTTCTCTGTGAAACAACATCTAAATCAGGTCAAATGGGCATTCCACTCCTGCTTGATGAATGGGAACATTAAAAACTGAAAAAACATGTAATAAATTAGTGTAGGGCCAAAACTAACGTTTGGCTCTTCTTGTCCTACAAAAGGCCTTGAACCTTGCCACATTTTCTATTGAAATTTAGAAAATGCGCCTCATCCTAACCTGAACTGTCTTACTTTCTAAAAAAAGAAAAGAAAAGAAAAGAAAGAAAGGAACAGAGCTTATTTAGTTTTGAAATCGACAGATGTTAAATCACGTCTCATACGAGACTATTGTCTCACCATTTGTTTTCTTTAGCTGAGAAAAAAAGTTATATCCTCCATTCTCATATCACATTGTCAAGCTGTTATGAAGGCCCTTAGAGTGTGATCATTTTCATCCTATAGCCTCTCCTTCACAATCACTCAGTATAATTAGACTTTTAGAATTAGAAAGAAACTGAAAGGTGCTTTTTATTTAATTCTTGTGAGATAGATATATCACTGTCAACTAACATCTAATTTTCTTATGAACTACTAAGCATTAACTAAAAGACTATCTTCTCAGGAATAAATTCTTTTTTGCAGCAGCAGTGGGAGAAATAAAGTTAAAGATGCAGAGATAATTAATAGTAGAAAGAGAGGAAAGTAGGTAGAAGGAAGTAAACGTGGAAATAGAACACAATATTCATTGTTCCTATAGATATGATTCTTTAAAAGTATTCTATACTTTACATGTTGCTTATTTTTGCTCTGAACTTAGGTTTCATTTTCTTCAGTGGCAAGAGTTATTTTTAATCACACTATTACTTTACAGAAGAGAGGAAGAGGGGAGAAAAGAAAGAAACAAAGAAACCTACATATATTGAAATCCAGTTTTTAAAAAATGTGTCTAACTTATTTGTTTCTATGGGAATTGAAATCAGCGTGGAGGAGGGTGTCATTGATAACACCTGGAAATTCTAATCTTAAGCCTACTTTCTTCAAAGATGAGATGGCTTTCCTGTTCATTTGGCAACTTCTTATTCCTACACCAATGGTTAGGGATAAATGACCCAGAACCAAGAGAGTTGATTATCAACATAGTACAGGGGAAAGTTTTAAAGAGCAAGAAGGGGAGTGTTAAACACATGGAGAGGAGTGAAAGGAGATTGGCAGAGTGACTTTCAACATTCAACAGTCATCCTAGAGTGCTCTGGTGAAGAATCAAGAATACTGCTGGTTTTTTGAGGAAGAAGAGAACGCATTTGATCACCAGCAATCTATCTTCGACCTTCCTCAAAGTCAAGTTTCTCATTACTGACTATAAAAATATTTCATTCAGAGGACTGACTATAAAAATATTTCATTCAGAAGATAAATGTGTCCTCCTGCAATGTCTTCTTTTGGGGAGCAGCGGGGAAAATAAAGATGCAGAAAGAAATAATAGAAGAAAGAAAGAAAAGATGGTAGAAGGAAGCAAATGTGGAGACCACAGAAACAGAAGTAGCAACAAAGAAGGGAACCAGGAGAAAAGAGGAGAGAAAGGCCATAGAAAATAGCATCCAGAGGGAATAGGAAGGGACACAGAGAAAAGGAAAGCACATTAATTGCTGATAAATGTTTCTCTCCTTAAGAATTCTAGGTCAAGAAGTCAAAAGGCAAAGAGCATGAAAAGGAGGCAATGGACACTCAGTGCATGATCCTGGAGAAGCAGGAATTCATCCGGATGGGAATCCGAGACCATGTCGTGACAGCCTCTGCCCTGCTGCATTTTATTCTGGTGAGTTCACTTGTGAACTTGTGATTTTTTCCTCAGTTAAATCAACTCCTAGAAGAATTTAAAAGGAAATGAACTGGGAGGAAGGACGTATAAAACCTGGGGGGTAGTGGGGAAATGAATAACTACAGTGTTTCCTTAGCATGATGGGACTACATTAATGCACGTATGACTAATGGTGATGCCAATGAAAAGAGGGATAGAAATTGGGGTAACCATGGATACAACTGTGACATTTTAGAAGGACCATTTGTGTATATTTCTCTCTCTTTGCATCTTTTCACCCATTCTTCAAAATCCCATGTAATAATTCCCTTAAGTGAAATTTGCCACATCAGATCTAATACTGTTGTAGAAGTTGAAATAAGTTAAGAAAAAGAACTATTTAAAAATACTTTGGGTCTTTTATTTCTCCCCCCCACGATGAATCCGAAGCCCCTGAGTAATCCTTCGTTGGGTATTTTAGACTTCTCTTACCATTTGTGAAGAAAGTGCAGCAGGGTTGGGTGGATGAAACACAAACTTTGTCATCTTTAATGATCATCTATTTTAATGAAAACAAGAACTGATAACTAGGAGTTTCTTAAATGTTATCTGCAGGATATGGTTATTAATCCTTTTACAAATCCTTTTCACCTGATATGTATTGAGAATGTATGTCCTCTTACTCCTCAATTCCTCCTTTCCCCCCATAAACTCCAAATAGGGACAAATTGCTGTTTCTTTTTGAAGAGCCTTTGCTGTAGCTTTCCTGAAATATCAGATCACTCAAGTTATCAGGAGACAAAAGCAGCTTCTAGAATTAAGTTTACCTAGAGGGATCTTTGAAGGAGGAACTTAACTGAAATATCAGGTAGAAGAAAAAGTGGAAGGTGAATGGTTTCAAGGATTAGATGGGGATTTGATAGCAATTTCATCGACTTGTTAGAGCTAACTTGTCCCCAGTTCTATTAATTCATTCAACACATGTTTGTGGTAGAGTTTGATTTGAATTCTGGCTATATCAATAAGGTGTATGCATATGGTTCCATTGTTAAAACCCTATTCCTTGGCTCCTTAACCTTTTAAAATAAGGTTAAATATATCCACAAAGAGGGTTATTGTGGTTCAGTGTTATGAAATATTAAAAACTTAGCTGTCTGACTAGCATATAGTAGCTATGGTATCCAATATATAAGGATCCTATTCTCCCAATCCTTTTCCTCTTCTCTTGTATTGTGAGCTATTGTCATATTGAGGGACTGAACAAGAGTATTAAAGTAGAATTCTACAGGCAGGAATTAGGACAATAATAATATCCTGAGGGACAGATCCAGAATTTTCTAAGACAAAGAAATTGATGTAAATAGCTGCCTCTCATTCACAAAGGTGGTGTTCACCCACCATTTAAATATCAGATTAGATATTTGTTCTTCAAGATTTCCGCACCTTAAGTAAAACAGTCAACAAGCATGGAAGAGGCATAAATAATCATCTTAAATATAAGCTGACCAAGGACCATGTCATCCTCAGCCATTGACTTAACACCACATACCACGAGAGATGATTGTAGACAGCTGAGAACAACAGACAAAGTAATTTCCCTGTCTGGACTATTTATCTTCCTACAGCTTCCTGGTACAAGATGTGAAGAGAACTGTGGCAATCCTGAACAGTGAGTATCTGAGAGTTCAAACTAAGAGAAAAAAGGGACAAAAACACCAATACCCAAAAGAGGAGTACATGTCATGATGACTATGACCTTATTTACTTTTACTTAAATGAATATCTGCCTACTGATCTAATTTAAGTGCTCAAAATAACACTGCTGACAGCATTTTTCCCAAAGCCAAACTTCCCATCAAAGCAGCACAGTTAATCTCAGTTGATATTACCATAGAGATTTGCAAAATGCTCTCTTAGCCATGCTTCTCAGTGACTCACCAGGGCAGTCTGGGTTCAATATCTAGTCACTGACATATATATATTTGGGCAATTTCCAGTAGACTTACTACTTCAAAACTGCAAAGTACTTTCTAGTTTTAGGGCATGTTAAAATTTATTGAAGACTTGATTTCGTTATTACTTTGATATAGTTATCCATTAATCCAAACTTGTCAAAATTAAGACTCATGCAGACACAGAGGATACAAAGATAAAAATGCAAACGATTCATTCCATTTGGAGTAAAATAAAATTTTTTTAAAAAAAGAGACAGTTTGGATAAAAGACTCATTTGGACTAAAGAAAAACATATGTATATTTAGCCATGGGAAGGGTATCCCAACAGCCAAGTCTGTTAAGCCCAGGGAGATGGTGATTGCCTTGGTTACTTGTCACATGCACATTGAGCACTGCTCACTTGACACACACTTTTAGACATATTCCACCATAAGAAATGTCCTTTCCTGTAAAATTAGAATCTACTTAGAACTGATGGGTTTTGAGCTGGGCGTGGTAGCGCATACCTGTAATTCCAGCTACTTGGAAGGCTGAGGCGGAAGGATCGCCAGAGCCCAGCAGGTCGAGGCTGCAGTGGCCGAGAGCGGCTACTGCACTCAAGTCTGGGTGACAGAGTGAGACTCCAACTCAAAAAAAAAAAAAAAAAAAAAAAAGAATAAAATATTATTGATCTTCTTAAAAAAAAAAAAAGAACTGATGAGTTTTGAACACATGAGTAATGTGAGAAAACCAAGAGGTAAAAAAACAAACTGCTTAGTAAAAACCACACTGTATTTTCTACTTGCTCAGTAAAAAAACAAACTGTATTTTCTACAAATGTAAGACCAAAGAGAAGATATAAAAATGGATTTAAGTAGATTTCAATAGATCAATGTATCAGAAAGCCTTATTTAATGAGAAAATGTACTAATCTTCCAAGATACACAATTACTATGTTTCTTCTCTCTCTCCAACCCCTGATCTTATCTCATAACCTTTCTCCCACATAATCCTTATTTTTTAAATTCTTACAAAGAAAATTTACAATTGCTGTAGTTAATTCAGAATATTTAGTTAGTTTTCATTGTGGTGAAGTTGACTTCTCCTTTTTTCCTTCTTCCTGTTTGGTCTCAGTAGATATGCATATCAGTTTTAATCCTGGATGTGAAAGTTTAGTTTCCTCTTTATCTTGGGCGTGATATTGCAAAATATATATTTGGTCCTGTCTCTGTCTCCTGGCATACAACTCCTAAAATCATTGGAATCGTCAATATAATAAGTGTTCATTTTCATGCTAATGAGTTGACTGGAGGTTGGCACCCCTTAGGTATCTTCGGGTCCCCTGGTCACTGGAAAGACCAAGGTAAGATTAGAGGGTGGAACTTTTCAGTCCCATCCCTCCACATCCAGAGGAAGGGGAAGGATTGAAGTTTAAATTGATCATCAATGATCAATGATTTAATTAATCATCATGCCTACATAATGAAGCTTCTATAAAAATCCAGAAGAACTGGGTTTGGAGTGTTTCTGGATAGTTGGACATTTGGAGGTTCCTGGAGGGTGGTACTGAGGGAGGGCATGGAAGAAGCTCCACAATCCTTCCTACATGCTTTGCTCTATGCATCTCTTCATCTGTATCCTTGGTGAAATCCTTATAATAAACTGGTAAATGTAATAAGTGTTTCCCTGAGTTTTGTGAATTGCTCTAGCAAATTAATGCAACCTGAGAAGGGGGTCATAGGAACCTCAATTTATAGCTGCTAGGTCCCAAGCACAGGTAAACCCACCCGGGGCTTCTGATGGGCATCAGAAGTAAGGGAAGTAGTCTTAGGGACTGAGCCCCCATCCTGTGGGATCTAACACTATCTCCTGGTAGGTAGTGTCAGAATTGAACTGAATAAGAGGGCATTCAGCTGATGTCCACTACTGGAGGATTACAGGTTTGGTATCTGGGGAAACTCCCACTCCACACATACATATCTGTGCTGGGAGATTATAGTAGGAAGAAACTAAGTTTGTTTTCCCTACATTATCAGTAGGAGTGTTGCAACAGCTTGTGATACATAAATCACAAACTTGACTGTATTGCTTTCACACTTATAACTGGATATTTTTATGTTTACATTTTATTGACCTGAAATACATGCAAGCCTTAACTTTCATAACCATTTTCAAACTCACTCTTTGCAAATGTACATTCCAAGTTCTTTCTTGCTAATTTTTATTGCAACTGTTTACAGTAGTCATGGATACATTTTCTATAACATTTTTTATGATCACTAGTTTGTTGTATAATGATTTTCAAATTGACTTGGATAATGCCATCTATAGTATAAAACACTACTTAAAGCATACTCTCTCACAAAAGATTCAACTAGCTATATTGAAATTTAAATAATATAATGCACAATGCTTTATAAGAGTTAAATTGACATTGACTATATGTTTAATACTTTAATACTTTCTTTATAGTTGCCTGAACACAGACTGGGTACATCTCTGGTACATATGGTAAGTCTCAGTTATAATATACAGAAAGATACTTTATTTTTCAGGGGCACCAAAATGTTTTTTAAGTTTTTAAATGTATTATCAGCAGGGAAAAAAAATGACAGCCTGCCTGCTTAGCATCTCATGAAATAAGATTTAATTACCTCATCCTAACCTATGTGATAATATACCAAGATTTCATTTTTCAATATCATCTTCTGGGCCAACATCAAAAGATTATTGTGTCCTTCTTTCAGGGTCTGCTCTAGAAATATCTCTACAGAGGAGATAACTTTGATGAAGTAATAAGCAGCTCCTCAAAGCTACCTTAAATGTCTTATCATTTGTTCCAATGAACTAACTTAGTGTTGCTGCCAAAACAAGAAAGTATAAATGTAAAGTGAAAGTCTTAGAATTAAAATCTTATAATTACTCTATAAAATATTCAAATAAGAATCAGAACACAGACTTTAAAAACTGATTATACCAGAGCTGGGGAAAAACCAGGTCTCAAAGCTCCCACTCGCCTCGCACGCCCTTGCAGGTTGTTGGTGGTCATTGGTGCTCTGGTTCTCCTGTGTGGCCTGACCTCCCTGTGCCTCCGCTGCTGTTGTTTGAGCCACCAGCAAAATGGAGAAGTCAGGGGCCCATCACCCTACGAAGTGACCGTCATTGCCTTCGATCATGACAGTACGCTCCAGAGCACTATCACTTGTGAGTACATGAATCTTCTAACCTCAGAAAAGCACCCAAATTTAAATGAATGATTAAAAGGGTACAAAAATGTAAAACCACTAATGGAGTGGTAATAAAGTTTCCAGAACTCAGTATAATTTTAATTTCCAGAAGCCTGGTGGTACAGTGACCCGGGCTCTCACTGATGCAATGTTCTGGAGTATTTGTCTGGCTGATGACAAAGTAAAGACAAAAATGAAATATTGGAGATACTATTGGAAGTGTTTTATGGGAAGAATTACCAAGTTAATAGTTAGATTTTTTTCTAAAAACTATTTTAAACTTTAAACATATATCCCTTTTCAAGATGTCTTGGATTGTGTAAAAATCCACATTTTCTATTAGTTTTTCCATTTTCTATCTACATTTTCTATTATTTTCTATTTTTAAATAACTTCATGGTGATTACTTTCAGTTCTTTAATTTTCAAGTCTTAATATACTAAATTTTAGCCCCATCAGTTCCTCGATGCTTATAAGACTCTTACCTTTATCTCCTTCTGTAACCGGTAACGGGCAATCCCCTCAGGTCCCCTCCTGCTCTGGGAGCTCTTCTGTCCTCTCAATAAACTCTGCTTTAAAAAAAAAAAAAATTGCGGAGGGCGGGGTAACTACCAAGAAGAATAATAGGGGGTAAAACACTATGATATTTGTTTTGAAAAGAGAATAATATGAAGTACTAGTCACCTTTTCTACCTCCTCTTTCTTATTGTCATCTTAGAAAAACGATAAAGCAGAAATAACTCTTTTTTTTTTTTTTTTTTGAGTTGGAGCCTCACTTGGTCCCCCAGACTGGAGTGCAGTGGCCGCTCCCAGCCACTGCAGCCTCGACCTGCTGGGCTCCGGCGATCCTTCCGCCTCAGCCTTCCAAGTAGCTGGAATTACAGGCATGCGCTACCACCCCCGGCTGATTTTTTGATTTATTGTCGAGATGAGGTCTCGCTGCCCAGGCATGTCTCGAACCCATAGGCTCAGGCAATCCACTCACCTCAGCCTCTCAAAGGCACGGGATTACAGGCTGAGCCACCGAGCCCAGCAGAAATAACTTCTTAAAGCATCTACACTCTCAGTGGGTTGGTGAAAAGGAATCTAAGTCTAAAAGAAGGTGGTGCAGGGTTGAGATTTAGATTATTTGAGGATAGAATACTCTAGATTATTCAATTCAGATTATTTCAGAGAAGACAGGTTCTTCTACCAGAGAAGGAAGCTTGTTTCTAAACAAGCTTCATAGGCTATTCATAAAATTTGTGACTGGTCATAACAATGAGTTCCAACAACTACTAAAAATGAAGGGACATTAAATATGAAATAGGTCTCTATGTCTAAGGATGTCACATTCCCTTTAGTTCCTGATCTCTGTACCTTCTTTCTTCACAGCCCTGCAGTCTGTGTTTGGCCCTGCAGCCCAGAGGATCCTGGCTGTAGCTCATTCCCACAGCTCCCTGGGTCAATTGCCCTCCTCTTTGGACACCCTCCCAGGGTATGAAGAAGCTCTTCGCATGAGTCGCTTTACAGTAGCAAGATGTGGGACAAAAGCACCTGATCTAACCCCAGTGCCAGAAGAAAAGCAGCTACCTCCAGTGGAGAAGGAGTCTCCTGGAATAGAACACTCTTCAAACTGATGGGAACTGTGATTTTACAAATGAGGGTGAGGGTATCTCCAGAGTCTGTGGGGGTCCAGAGACAAATGGAACATTTTGTTTTCTAACTCCCAGAAGTTTTGGGGATGACATCTAAACATCATTCTGTGGAAAAGAAGAATTCTAACTCTTTGTTCCCAGCCACTTACATCTTCTGCTAAAGAACTTTCTGATACAGTTCTAATTGGGAACTCTAACTTATATCTAATGTCCAAATTTTGTAACTAACCTTTAACCATGTTGATTACCTCCAAACTGGGAAAGCATCAATGATTCTTGAATTTCTTTTCATATTGAATGCATATAGAGCATATCATAGTCCCTTTGACCCATATGATACTACAAGTTGCTTTTACCTCTGCCCGCTAATTGATGTGGCAAGCCCGAAGAGAAACACCACGATGTCTGCACAGCTATTCACATTAAGCATTGAATGCATGAGTCTTTCTTCCTGAGAAAACAAAAAATTTTATACTGAATGACAATGATCATCTTGGGCATCACATCATGTCCACTTGGACATCTAAAATCTAGGGTGATCTTGCTGGCATAAGCTAAGAGAACAGAGTACAGTACTGAATTGCCAAATATCAAAGTCTTTTTTTCATTCTGGTCCTACCCACCAGCATTATGAAAATCACATAGAATGCAATAACCGTTCGATTAATTCTTCAGTTCCTTTGCTCTGCAAACATACGCGTGCAAGCACATGTGTACACATGTACCCTTTTTTAAACTTTAAAGGTGGTGCAGGCTGGCGGGGAGCGTGAGGGGTAGTGCAATCTCTTTAGAATAAGACTTTATAGGCAGGATAGCCCATAGCATTGCTTTGCTTCTTTCCTGCACAGCTTCAGCCACTTAAAGCCACAACACATCTATAGTCACACACACACACACACACACACACACACACACACACACACACACACACACACACACACGGTCTCCAGTGATGGCCCTTACTGCCACCTAGTGGAGCCATGGTAGAAAATGCGGTCTCTCCTCTGGGTCTATCTGCACAGTTCTCCAGTTCTTGAAGCACAAACTAAGTGCTGAACCTAGCTGGGGTGGGATCCTTCCCATGACATCATTCTACTGTATAGCACTAAGCAACCAACATAGCATACTACCTCCAGAGTACTGTTATTGGAAAATTGAGAAAATGATACGAATTTGGGAGAAAACTTCTCACCTTAAATAAGTCTTTAAAGCACAGTTTTCTCATCTATAAAAATAGGAAATGATAACACCTCACAGAATTGTGAAGATCAAAGAAGCTAAATATATGTGACATGATTTGTTAGTATTATGCACACGTATTTGTTATTATTCCTCCTATTGTCTAACCTTCACCTGCCTGCGATGATTCCACTGAGAGCTCTGTTCTGGTTTTTCCTTTTGCCAGTCTGCTACATTATTGTTCAGTCATACCTGAAGTGGCTTTATTTTATCAATAAATATTTGCTGACTGAAGTGAACAACAAAAAATATAAGTGATTCCTATCAATATGTTCTATGTAGAGGTAATGGATAGTGGAGAAAACCAGTTATTTATTAGGCAATTAGCTCCCGTACTCAGGGAATTGACACAGAGCCAGGGATTAGCCGATTAGTGCAGCACCTCATTAAGTACATTCTTGGAATGCTCACTCAGCCCGGAGGGACAAGTGTTCTGAGTACAACCTGGTGAACTGAGTTTATCCTGAGTCATTTATCAAATTGCCTCTGGAAATTGTTGAAATGCATGAATTGTTAATAGCACCTGAGGTGGCCTTGTTTTACTGCTGCCAAATGATTATGCAATCATCACACACACATTCCATAAAGTATTCCAAGCTCTTTCATCTGTGTTTCAAGACACCACAGACTTGAAGGTGTTAAAATGTTGATGAGCATTAGAGGGTTTTTTTGGGGGGGGGGTCCTACCTATAAAGTCTTACTCTTAAGAGAGCTCTCTACCTTACACCCCGTCCCAATCCCCAGCACCTTATTTGAAATACAAAATCACATCTATCCATGTATGCTACTCCCACCTCTGTCTCCCCCCTGCAGTGCGTCTTTTTCTAATCTGTGCTGCTCCTCGGTCACATGGAATCCTTCACTTCCACCCCCATAGCCCTCCCATTTGGTCATGAGCTGTTCACACCCTTTTGGTTTTACTTCTTCTACTAAATCTAATATACCAATCACTTGCACCATTGTTTTCAATTCTTTAGCCCCTTTTACCCTTCTTCACAGCTACCCTTCAAACTTTAAACACTGGTTAGGTGTGGCGCTGATTTCTCCCCAGCGCCTACACTGCTGAGCAGTGCTGGAGAAAATCTCTCAGTTGTACTGACTGAGGTCAATATGAGGTCATGGTCTCCAAGACCACTGGCACCTATTAGCATTTCTTCTAGATTTCCTCTAGTAATCTCTCCATTCCTTTTAGTAGGTCTGCAAATTTCATCAGTTCTCTTCATACCCCATATTCTATCACTAACCTATTAATTCTAGGCATTAATTCTCCTAGTTCAGAGAGGGAATCAAAGCCTTAACTTCCTGTCCCAAAGCTACAAACCTCTATAGACCTATGTTTAGCACTTCCTCCTTCCTCTGGTCTCAGTGAAATATATATTCTTTCACTTCACTCCATTATAATAATTATACACCTAATTATGCTTGAATTCCATTGATTTAACAGATTTTTATTGCTGTTGTTCAGAAGTATGATTTAAGAAATTATATGCCAGAAATGGGTAATGCATGCAAAACAAACTGACCTTCTGCCTCTATGTCCTCACAAAGTTTACATTGTAAGGAAAAAAATAATATAAAGAAAAAGCAAAAAATAAAATGATAGCAAACTTTACAAGTGCAAAGAACTAAACAAAGGCTGAGAGAGGAAACAACAGATAGGAAGGGATAGAAAACACTTGAGAATATAGAGTAAGAGAAAAGCATATTCAAAGATAAAAAAAGGTTTAGGAAATTTGAGAAACTAAAACAAACAAAAGACTAAAGTAGCAGATTTTTTTTTTTTTTCCGAGTTGGAGTCTCACTCTGTCGCCCAGACTGGAGTGCAGTGGCCGCTCCCGGCCACCGCAGGCTTAACCTGCTGGGCTCCGGCGATCCTTCCACCTCAGACTTCCACATAGCTGGAACTACAGGCACACGCTACCACGCCCGGCTGATTTTTTAATTTATTGTAGAGATGAGATCTCGCTGCCCAGGCAGGTCTCGAACCCGCGGGCTCAGGTAATCCATTCACTTCAGCCTCCCAAAGGCGCGGGATTACAGGCTGAGCCACCGAGCCCGGCTAAAGTAGCAGATTATAGGGAGTAAAGGAGCAAGCTAAAGGAAACAAAGTTGAAAAAGGAAAAGTGAGCTTGAGGATAAGGCATCTAGATATTTTATGTGCATTGAGAAGTCATGGAAAGGTTTTAGACAGTAAATCATTTGAGGCAATTTGAATTTTAAGACAATGACTCTAGATGTTACAGGAGAATCGACTGGAATAGGACACGTAGGAGAGTAGGAAGATCGGATGGGAAGTATTGAAGAACAGCAGATATTAGGGGATTGAGGATCGGACAAAGGTGGGGTTAACAGACATGAAGACAGAGATAAATGCAGGGATTTGAGAGATATATTGGGGACAGGATGATCAGGACTTGCTGCTCAATTGGACAGGGAAACATTAAGGAAAAGAAGTGAAAATTACTTATAGATCATTTACCTGAACTGGTGTGTGGAAAGTACAACTATTTATTAGGATGGGGGAAACTGGAGGAAGACTGAATTTAGGGGGAAATTCGAGGCAATGATTTCTAAAAGTGGAGAAAAGGAATTTGATGGTAAAATCTACACCAAGTTAATAAAAGACAAGGAAAGCTCAGCATTTGCCAGTGAAAAAAGTCAAAGTAATTTTTTTTTGTAATTTAATACGGAAAGCTTCAAAAAATGGGGAGGGGGGAGAAATTTCACATTGTTCTTTTAAAATCTGTAATGTTTTAAATATAATCCATGGAAGATAGCATGGAAACTACTAGATATGCCTCTCTGAGATTTGGGTCTAGACTGGAGGATATAAATTTGGAAGTCATCAAGTTAAAATGCATATTTATATATACAGGCATAAATGAGATAATCCCTTCCATCCTCACCTGCCTCCTTTTTCTCCCTCTTGTTCCTTCCTTAATTGTTCACTCTCTACTAGCTTCTACCCTTTGGTATACAGTAGTTTAGTATGAGTTGTATGCTGTTAAAAAGAGGAGGGAACATGAAGTTTAAAAAGAAAAGTGGCACACTGCTTAGTCTTGCACTAAACAATTTGGACACAGAACTTAAAAACAATGAGGAGTTACTTAATGTTTTATTTGCAGGAGAGTTCAATAATGTGATGAATTTTCTAGAAAAATAGCCTGATGAAAGTTTGAGGACTCAGCTGAAGTATAAAGAAGATGGGTCTTAATTCTAGCTAGGAGCATACTGTACAAATCCTAGTTAAAAATTAAGAGAACATGAAAAGAAACATGAGAGTAGTGGTGAAATGACATCCATTGCTTCTTTTCAGAATTCTAAGTTGCGCTCAAATTGAAAAAAAATAAGTGACACAGTAGTTAAGAAAAATGATTTTTACACAATTATCTCTAGCTCTTTCCTCTAATTTTAAGCAGTGGATATTCACTGAACTCTCTTTCGTCAGTTCAAATAACATAAATATGCATAAACCCTCTAAGTTTGGCAGTGCAGTGCCATTTTGCAAACTCTTCTACTTACTCTGGGATTCCTAGGGTGATTAAATTGGACAAAACAAGCAAGCGAACAAACAAAATCACCTTCTCTATCATTTTTTATTTGCCGAAACTAAAACTTTTTATCTAGTGTGATGTCATTATATGAAGGAAGATGTCAACACCTGCATAGGAGACAGAAGTGACCTTGACAGCACAAAGTGCCTAATCTGTGAGGGAGACCTTCAAGATGGGCATATGTTACCT